GAGAGCGTGGTCCTGCCCCGGTCGAGCCGACCCATTCGCGCTGCAACCACAATATAGCTGCAGCGTAGCTCTACCACGTATCAAATTGTGTACGATTTTCTTTCACATTAATTAGTGTCAAATCAAAAATTATATCAAAAATTATCCCCCTTAATATGACATTAAGCGGGGTTCGTTCTTCCACCATCGGACAACCAGACGTTTGGCCACTCTTTTGTTATTGACACAGTACATGTACTCGTATAGCAAAGGAGTGAAACAAGTTGCCAGCATCTGTCTTTCCATTCAATTACAATGTAGGTGTATTCAAGGCAAGAGTGAATAGGCTTCTATTAAGTCAGTAAGCTTCATCGTCTTAGGCTGTATCACCACTCACCATCAGGCTTGCTTAAAATAGTAAAAAAAAAGATTGCCTATTAGGGGTACCTGTGGTAAGGCTAATTCGCTTTTATGGGATAGGCTGATGATGATACAACTATCGGAAACTTTGACTTCCTTTGAACTTTGAGATCCTACTGACATTTCCCATAGTCGTAAGCACCCACACAATGAAATGAGGTGATGGGATTCTTTACGTCGTCATTACACGGCAAACATTTGTCAAATTCAAATAATAATAAAAGTAAAGGAAGGTGAAGTAGAAAAAATACGCTACACGGCACCTATATGTGTAGAAGGACTTGACAATTTCTTTTTAATTGACCACTGTAAAACTTTGTAAAAACAATTTCGTTGATGCTGGTTGTATGGGTTGCATGCGTATGAAAGTCTTTAAAAAAAGATAGAGATATAAAGTTATAACTTCCGATTTAATGGTTCATAAAACGAGTGAAATGTATTTTCATCGAACACTGAATAGAAAAACATATTTGAGTTTTTATTTTAGAATTCAATGTACATAATAATCTAGTAGGAAGTACACAACCGCGCTTTTTAGAGTTCAGCTATCAAGAACAAGGAACATTCGTAACTTTGAATTACGAATTATATATATATATATATATATATATATATATATTATTTATTTTATTTTTATGTAATGGAAAACCAACAGCTTACAAATCTTAAATAAACAACATGTTAAATTTACAAGAAGCCAATATCGCCGTCGTCGTTTAAATCGTCGTTTAAAGGACATAGCACATTTATGAGCAACAAAAAATGGAGTCTAATTTAAATGCACAACATCATAAATTTAATAAGTGAAACTAACAATAATAGCCACAAAGGAAAAGAAAAGCAGGGCTAAACGCACAACATAATTGTTCCTAAAGTAAATTAAATTACGACACAAAAAAATCTCGACTTAATGCCCGCCTTGCCGATACATAGCTGGTATTAAACAAATCAAAATCATGCTTTTTGCACAGATTATTAAAAATATTACTAGACCGATGTAAGAAAGTATTTCTTCCGTAATTAGTTGATGAAGCTGGTAAGTAGAATAATGCATGCGTTCTAAGTTTAACCGTAGGTGTTCTCAGTGATATTTGCGATAGCAGATTTAAGCAGTCAACATTGCCAGAACAAATTTTCAATAAAAATACAATGTCAGCAATCTCCCGACGCTTTATCAAAGGTAACAGATGATGTTGTTTGCATAAGGATATATAGTCTTCTGAACGGTATTTTCTATGGGTACGATAGCAAAGATATCGTATGAATTTACGTTGAATACTTTCAATCCGTGAAATGTATGTATCATATATTGGATTCCAGACTTGCGAAGCGTATTCAAGCGTACTTCGGACGTAAGTGCAGTACAATATTTTAATTGTTTTAATGTTATTAAACTCCTTAGCAGTACGCATGACAAAACCTAACGTCTTAGATGCCCTAGCTATGATATTGTCGACATGGTTGTTGAATAATAACTTAGAGTCGTAGAAAATCCCTAGATCACGTACAACTGATTGTTTTTGTAGCTTCTGATCTTTAAGGTGATAGCCGAAATGAATTAAGTTTCGCTTGCGTGAATATGTAATGAGGGTGAATGATTTGGATGAATTTAGTTCAAGCTTATTAATAGTACAGTATTCCTCCAATCTTAGTAGATCTTCCTGCATTAATTCAGCATCTGAGATGAGATTGTGGAAAATATTTTCATATCATCAGCAAAACACAGTAGGTGTGATGATTTAAAACAGGTTTCAATATCGTTAACAAATATCAGAAATAGCAACGGTCCCAGTAAGGACCCCTGTGGTACGCCACTTGGTATTGACACCCAACCTGATATATAATTGTTAACAACTACAGCTTGCGAGCGATTGTCGATATAAGAGGAGAACCACCGCAGTAGGTCTCCACAGATACCAACATACTGAAGTTTTTTTAAAAGCAAATTATGTTCAATCCGGTCGAAAGCCTTACTATAATCTGTATAAACAACGTCAACTTGATGACCATCATCCATGGCTTTAGTCAAGAATGAATTAAAAAGCACCAAGTTGGAAACGGTGGATCTACCCTTGAAGAAACCATGTTGAGACTGGCTTATGCTTTGTTTGAGTAACGGATATACCTGCTCATAAACCAACTTTTCAAAGACTTTGGAAATAATGCACAACTTAGAAATTGGCCTATAATTTGTGAAATTAGTCTAAGACCCTTCTTGTGCACAGGGGTGATATATGCACGTTTCCAAATATTAGGAACTGAGCATTCATCCAACGATTTACGAAATAGCAAACTTATTGGTAGTGCTATCGTCTCTGCACAATTAATAAGAAAAATGGCTGGTAGCTTATCAGGTCCAGCAGATTTAGATGGATCAAGAGCTTTCAACAACCGACATACGTATTTAGAGTTAACTTCTATTTTTGATATATTTGCAGTTGATGTTGATGTCACATTAGAAATATTTGGAGGAGTTGATTGAGCGCCCTGGTATAAAAAATTTAACTTGAAATAAGTTGCAAAGGCGTCACTAATAGACTGACATGTGTTGTAGATTACACTACCTAAATTGAGACTACTCGGAATAGAGTGAGTTTTTGATTTACGTTTAACATATGACCAGAAATATTTAGGATTTTTTTCTATTGAACTTTCAACGGTTAATATGTAGTTTTTATGACACATATCTTCCAAATATTTGACACGAGTGCGTAGTATTTTATACGATTCTTCATCGGATCTATTACCGTAGGTTCTGAATTTACGAAGATTATTTATATTATATTTACTTATGTTTTTCTTTAATTGCTCTCTTTAATGCTGGGGAATACCATATATGATAGGACTCCGGTTTAATTATTTTTGACGGTATATGCTTATCTCCTAATTTCTCAAATATTTCATAAAAATATTTAATGGAATCATTAAGAGATTTCGAAGAGAATACGGTTCGCCAATCAATTTCAGCATATTTTTTATTAATTGATTGATAATTACCTTTATTAAATAGAAACTTAATAAATGGAGTTGTTTTAAGTATACTTAGCTCATAAAAACGTACTTCCATTACTAACGCTCCGTGAAAGGGATCTACTGGTACCAAAGAGTCGTCACTTCAATCGGATACGGCTACATCACAGTTAGATAATACAAGGTCGAGTGTCTTACCATATTTATTGCGTATGCCATTATATTGGCAAAAGTTAAGCGCATTAATTTCGTCAAAACCGTTCGTGGTGCGCACTATAGTTAATTGGCTCATAGCAATAATTACAACAGTTGGAACAGTTGGAAGCGGGTATCCATTTTATGTTGCTTAAATTAAAGTCACCCACCATAAGATACTTATCCGTGGGATATTTTAAGACTGTATCATTTAATTTCGGAAAAAAAATTCAATAACTGGTCCGAAAAACTAAAGCTTCCATGTAAATTACATAAATATAAAACACAAATATGCAGAGAAGTGGGCATTTTACTATCGCTTTTTCTGACAGTCAGCGTGAGCCAAAAATCTTCAGCACTGGAGTTAAAGGTCGGTTGAGGTACAACAGACAGCTCTCTGCGTGTCGCAATGAGCACACCGCCCCCGTACACTTGGCTTGTCCCAGCGTAATCACGATCGCGGCGCCACACAACATAACGACTATCAAATAACTCAGAGTTCGAAATACCATCCAGAAGCCACGTTTCAGTTATAACAATGACATCGTATTTAGACAGGCAGGTTTTACGGTAGAAATCAGATGTTTTAGTACGCAGACCTCGTGCATTCTGGTAATAAATATTTAATAAATAACTATTCGTGTTATTAATTAAATTGTTAGCCATTATGAATCATTAAATTAAAAATAAAATATAAACAAAGTATAATTAAAATTATAAAACTAGACAATATGCAGAAAGTCTTAAAATAATAACTAAAATTCCTTATTTTGATTTTAATTACAAACTCGAATAGTAAATCAACATGGTAACTAATTATCACGTTAAAACAGTGCTGTAATAGTAAATATGTAATTAAAAAAATAATTGTATCAATATCATTCAATAACATAATGCAAAAAAGAATAGCGAGAAAGCCAAGTCTAGTATTAAAAGAATTGATTAAAGTGTAATGAAAAAGCAGGTTTTTAAGAACATAAATGTTGATGCAACGAAAAACTAAAGTTATTAAACTAAGCGGAATGCAGAAAGTCTTAAAATAACTACTTAAAAATATATTATTTGTATTAGGGTTAATAGCATGATAAGAAAGCAAACCAACACAAAAAAAATTAATAAATCAAAACATTTTTGCAGCGTGGAAAAAATACAATCAATATCATTCTGTACCAAATAGGATATAAGAGCGAAAAGAGCGAGCACAATATGCATACGGTTACCTAAAATATATCGATAAGGCGGGTAGAAACAATTATGCGTCAAGCAATATATCGAACAAAGAGTTTTAGAAAAAAACACAGAATAACAACAGCGATACATCGGCAATGCAGTGGTCGTAAACATTTCATTACAAATGTAATTTACAGCAGAAGCAATTAAGCAATACGTAATTAAGCTGAGACATAAGTTAAGCAAATTATACGTTTGGAGGCAGATTAAGCTAACTTGTTTAAATCACTATCACTTGTGATAATCATAACCCTCGTAGTATCGTTTTTTCTAACATGAATTTTACAATACTTTACCCAAACGTATTGAGAAGCCTTATCTTTACAAATAGCTTTGGTTCTAGTTAACAAGGCCTTAGAATACGGTGTTAAGTGATCATTAACATACAGCCGTTGTTCGTTACCCACAAATCCAATGTCCTTCGCTGTCATAAACTTCTTACTTCGCGCCGCAGCGACAAATTCTTCCTTTATGTAGCGGTTGATGAAGTTGACAATAATAGATTTATCCTTACCAAAATGTGTCGGCACCCTTGCTATGTAATTTATTTGATGTTTCGGGATCGTGTAACCAACCTGCGTGCATATGTTATCTACTATTGAAAAAAAGGTTTTCATCTTCTTTAGGGGAACTCCCTTTATCTCGACATTGTTAAGTCGAGACCATTGTTCCTTAGTAGCTAACTCCTTTTTCAGGGCCACTATTTCAGAGAGTGTCGAGTCAAATGTTACTTTTATTTGCTCCATATTAGGTATCTTGGATTTAAGATCAGTTATTCTGGACTCACAGTTAATTATTTTTTCACTATTAAATTCACAGGATGATTTTAGCTCTCCTATTTCACGCCTAATGCTTTTCACGTCATTAATGAGTGCTGGTAGTGAAGCTGTAGTTTTAGGTCACGTATTTCCTGCAGAACCAAATCAATCGAAGCACCCCCCTTAAATTGGTAGGGATCGACGGCGACGTGGTTGGCGTTGGCGTTGAAGGGGTGCATAGAATGTTCCGACAATAAGAACACCACGCAGCCCTTCGGTCAGCACCCAACTTTCTATACCCAGCTTCGGTTATATTAGAGCAGCCAAAACAAAGTTGCTTTTTACACGATCCACACTTAACGCCATCATTAAAATCCGTATTGCATAGTGCACAATGCATTATTATTAAGAAATACTTTCGACGTAAAGAAATAAGATATTCTAATGTAAAAAAAAAGCTGATAGAAAATGAACTAAGCAGAACGTGTTTGTAACCCCTGATGCTCAGAACTCGTTTCAATTAATACTGACACGTGCTATCTCTAAGTGTAAACAACGACAACTGCTGCCGAGTGTGTATATATATATATATATATATATATATATATATATAAATCGCACCTCTTTAAATTTCTACTTCAAATTACTTTTAAATCCGTTTAATCGATGGTAATTCTATGAGTATGTTATATCATTGGAAAGGTAGTTAAATTTACTCATAAGAAAAAATAATTAATGGATATCATGTGTTTTTGCCGGGAAATAAAAAAAGTTAATGTCCATAAGAAGGAAGTCCGTAGTCTCTGCCTACCCCTCTGGGTGACAGGCGTGAGTGTATATGTATGTATGTATGTATGTTTTAAAACGGCCCAAAACCCAGCGCTACCACTCCTTGTCTTAATTACTGCTTCCATACGGTCTTTCATTGATCTAAATGAGGAATGTTGTCCCATTCCTCAATGACAACCTCCTCGAGTTCTTGTAGTATGGTTGGGGCAGGATCGCAAGTCCTTACTCGCTGCTTTACAACATCCCAGAGGTGGTCTATCAAGTTTATGTCTGGACTTTGCGCTGGCTACCGCATACCAGAGATCCCGACCTCTTGAAGGTAATCATGTACAATAAATGCAGTGTGGCAGCAGGCGTTGTCACACATTAATGTAAATATCCATCGCCAACAAAACCCGCGTATGGGACTACATCACTGACCTCTATACATACTTACTTGTATTTATAGAGGTCAGTGGACCACTTGCTCTTCTAGGATAAATCAAAAACTCGCTCTATTCCGAGTAGTCTCAATTTAGGTAGTGTAATCTACAACACAGGTCAGTCTATTAGTGACGCGTTTGCAACTTATTTCCTAGTATAATGGGTATAATGGGTTTTTTATATTTACTAGTATAATGGGTTTTCGTCTCTCGACATACGAAACACTACAGCTTTACGCTGACCACCTAGTAAGTAAAGAAACCCTCCTACCTGATAAAACATTTTATATTATTCAATCTTTTGATATAATTTACGTTGATATGTAAAAGCGATTCGTAACAGAAGCTATAGTTTGTACTATCTAAGCCGAGCACGCAAGATAAAAAATCCAATTATATACAATTATCAATATGGATCAAAGATAACTGAGTACACAACAAGATTAATGTTTTAGTGTTGTTTTTTAATGTTTAAGATTTCAATAAGTAATAATTTGTAAAGTTTCATCATCATCATCATCATTACAGCCCTTCACAAGTCCACTGCTGAAGTCGCACCACTTAGGTTTTCGAAAGTTTATATCGAGAGTTATAAGCTTCAAGGCTTTTTACTTCGTCTCACCGACGAGTGTTTCGACTAATTTACTGATGTAGGTAATAATATCTATTGTGCTGGGCGGCAAAGTAAAATTTACCATGGAGAAGCGTAAATGCTGTAATAAAATAGGATGTATAAAAATGCCGCACTATAAAAATCTTGTTAAATGACTAATTGTAGGGTTTATGTTGCTGATTGTTTTAAATTGATCTATGATTATATATTTTAATGAAATTTAGTGGGTAAGTTATTAATTTCATATAAGAAATCAAGCATACTTGATCGTGTAATCTAATATGTAGTAGAGCCACGCTGCAGCGGTGCATACTAATTGGAACATGAATGTGTCGGTTCGACCGGAGTAGGACTAGGCTCTCACAAAATACCAGCATAACTGCAGTCTTTCGTATGGTGAATGTAGAGAACCGGAGATCTTAACTGAAAACGAGGCATTCCATCTTAGTCCTTACGAAGTGATAACGCATCTGCATTTTGATTCTTAATCGAGAACAAATGTAGATGTCTATGGGCCACAGCATTCACTTACATCAGATGGACTGGATGCTCGTTTATCACCCTTATAATTAAACTTGCTATTAAAGTGGTACTTATTATTAAAGACTCTTTAGATAAGGCTTTGTTTGAACGAATTATACTTACAGCTTATTAAAATAGAAAAATAATCATTATCAAAATAATTTCTTTAGTTATCGAGTAACGGTAACCAAAAAGAATATTGGCATCAAAACATCTTTATCGCTGGTCGTACAGCCGGTAAAACTGCGTACAACGTAATTTCTACCACTGGTTAAAATTGTGAATACTGTAGTTTTTTTTTTAAAGAAACCATAATGTTGATGATGAAAATCCTTAGTTCCTTCTCTTTGATGTTCGGAACATTTACGAGTACAGCGGTAATAAACTTGCTCTATTTTGTAACTGTTAGAATAAATAATTAAACAATATAAAACAAAAATTATTACAACCAAATTTATCTCACGGTGCTAACCTTTATAGGGTACGTGTATATGCTTATAGTTTATTATTCTATCATAATTCAATATATATATATATATATATATACTCGGCGTCACAAAAATCGCACTATGGCTCTCAGTGTTTACCTACATTTAATCAACTATTGTTATCTACTGAAAGTGCGTTTAATTGACCTTTAAAATAACCTTTTTGTTTCATAAGCCTAAGAAATTTCCTGATTACGAGACATTGAAAAACACTTTTTCAAAAATACGCGTCATAAAGATCACTAGTTGCGGTGCGTTATGTGCTATAAAAGGGCTGGTACAGGTAAAATGTGAGTATTTCGCTTTACAAAACGTTCAAGAGGATACACGTTAACTTCTGAAGCAAGCTAAAAACACTACAATATGGATACATCTGCTGATGAAGCCGCTCAAGTGATTGCGCTACTGCAGTCAGGGATGCGATAGTGTGATGTCGCTCGGTAACTAAATCTATATCGTTTCTCCGTTCGACAAGTATTCCTACGATTCAAGGACACTAGTGGCTATGTTTGGAGACGTGAATCTGGACGACAGCGCTGCACATCTCAAAGAGACGATCTATTCATTGTATCGACATCTTTACGCAATAGACTCTCGAATACTGTAGAACGGCAACAGCAGGTACGATCAGCTCGCAGAACATCTGTTAGCATCTCTACAATCAGAAGACGGTTAAGAGAAAAAAAATTGTAGCGCATAGGCCTGCAACTGGTCCAAAATTGACCGCACAGCATCGCAGAGATCGATTGCAATTTGCACGCGATCATATTGATTGGACGATCAAACAATGGAGGACGGTACTTTTTTCGGATGAGACGAAAGTATGTCTTTTCTGCAATGATAAACGCAGAAGAGTATATCGAAGGCAAAGGGAACAATTTGCACAAGCCTGTATTGAAGAAACAGTTGGATTCAAGGGTGGCTCATGCATGTTCTTGGGTGGCATGTCAGTCGACGCCACAACCAGCATTGTCTGCGTTTCCCGGAATGGAGGTGCTCGTGGTCAAGGGTCGCTGACTGCTCACCGATACATAGTAGAAATCCTAGAAGAGCAAGTGGTCCACTGACCTCTATAAATACAAGTACGTATGTATAGAGGTCAGTGATGTAGTCCCATACGCGGCTTTTGTTGGCGATGGATATTTACATTAATGCGTGACAACGCCTGCTGCCACACCGCATTTATTGTACATGATTACCTTCAAGAGGTCGGGATCTCTGGTATGCGGTAGCCAGCGCAAAGTCCAGACATAAACTTGATAGACCACCTCTGGGATGATGTAAAGCAGCGAGTAAGGACTTGCGATCCTGCCCCAACCATACTACAAGAACTGGAGGAGGTTGTCATTGAGGAATGGGACAACATTCCTCATTTAGATCAATGAAAGACCGTATGGAAGCAGTAATTAAGACAAGGAGTGGTAGCGCTGGGTTTTGGGCCGTTTTAAAACATGTTTTTATTTAATTTTGTAAGTTGCAATAAATCGTAATTTTCTTCTTTTGGACATTAACTTTTTTTATTTCCCGGCAAAAACACATGATATCAATTAATTATTTTTTCTTATGAGTAAATTTAACTACCTTTCCAATGATATAACATACTCATAGACTTACCATTGATTAAACGGATTTAAAAGTAGTTTGAAGTAGAAATTTAAAGAGGTGCGATTTATATATATACATATATATATAAAAAAACTCGGCAGCAGTTGTCGTTGTTTACACTTAGAGATAGCACGTGTCAGTATTAATTGAAACGAGTTCTGAGCATCAGGAGTTACAAACACGTTCTGCTTAATTCATTTTCTATAAGCTTTTTTTTACATTAGAATATCTTATTTGTTTACGTCGAAAGTATTTCTTAATAATAATGCATTGTGCACTATGCAATACGGATTTTAATGATGGCGTTAAGTGTGGATCGTGTAAAAAGCAACTTTGTTTTGGTTGCTCTAATATAACCGAAGCTGGGTATAGAAAGTTGGGTGCTGACCGAAGGGCTGCGTGAGGTGTTCTTATTGTCGGAACATTCTATGCACCCCTTCAACGCCAACGCCAACCACGTCGCCGTCGATCCCTACCAATGATGGGGGTGCTTCGATTCATTTGGTTCTGCAGGAAATACGTGACCTAAAACTACAGCTTCACTCCCAG